CTTTCGGAGCTGTTCGGTGCGAGCGAAGGGTAATCACTGCTGCGGGAACGGGAGGTAGAAAGAGCGCATTCATTTAAAGTGTTTGTGCCGCGCAGTTCCTCTCCTGGCAAGCTACCGGCCAACTGTGCTTGAAGCCCAGTCTCTTTTCCCCAAAACAGCTTTGTGAATTAAAAGCTCCTGGCATCCAAGTTTGTTCTCAGCTATTCGGAATGACTTTCGCGAGGCCTTTCTTTTTCTCCCACCGAGGCCTAATCGTCTGTAGCTACCATGCGTACATAGGTACACGAGTGCACGCTGTAGTCTTTAGAATTCGTCATAAAGGAACAAACGCAGTAATTATTTCCCTTCGATGGTCTATTTTAGCCTCTGTTGCAGTGCCGGGCTATGCTCGCAGTCCGCAGCAGGGATTTGTGGGCATGCTCGCCAGGTCGAGTTGCAGGAAAGTAAATTAGGCAGAGAGAAAATGGGCTTTCTGCATACCCTGGATGCTTCAGACAGAAAGGTTAATGGCTTTATGAGATTGCAGCGACATATTATTGCAAACACCTCCAAGCAAACAAATTATTTGATTGCAATATCGCAGGATGTAGGACTTGTTTCAGCCTGTTGTTAATGGAATATTAAACCCACAGGCATGTGTATGTGTGTGAAAGTGGATTTCCATGTTATGGTCATGCTTATACTGTATGTTCGCAATTACATACAGTAGTTTAGAAAACAAACAAAGACATCTATGGAAATCGTTAGCTTTTTGTGTGTGTGTTTTTTTAGCATCTTTGGACAATATAAAGGTGATATACTTGAGCAACTCCACAAGTAAAATTGGATTTTTCTGTCATTTATGGAACAAAAATATGAACAGATATAAAGTAAGTAGACCTTCAGCATCGGGAGCTTTAGCAGGAATAATGTCTTGTAGGCGTTTTGTATAATTGTCCACCAGTTTTCTCACATCGGCTAGTTGACATTTTCTAACCACTCTTGCTTTAAAAATCTTTTTAGTTGCAAGATGTTCCTGCCAAATTTAAATGCAATTCAAATCTGGCCTTTCATTTGGTCATTCCACAACCTTCAACTTCTTCTATTTAGGACATTCCTTGGTAGGTTTGATGGTGCATTTACAGATTAAAGGTCTTATCTTATCATCATTTGCAAACCGTAGTTTTACTTGAATGTACTTTATGGATAACAAAGACTTTTTTCTTGCATGTTCCAATGCATTCAAATTTGTGCTGCCTCCTTCTAACTATAGATGCACACACTTTGTCACCAGCAGAGTTACCTAAAGAGCCTCTGATGACATTTAAGAGTTTTTTTATGCTGTTTTGTGCAACAAACACTCATTTCTTATATTTATATGTACATTTTTTATTTTTTGTTTTTTCCTGTCTCGTATATGTGTACGTCTGTTGAAAGCTGCTATCAACGATGTGAATTTCTCCACTGTGAGATAAATAAAGGCATATCTTATCTCTCTTAAGTTGAGTTTGCTGGGGAAAATAGTCCTGGACAAATCTGGAGTCATCTGAAATCCAGTGTAGGTAGATGACTATTTCTACACTGAAATGATTTATTTTGAATAATTTACACCTTAGGATTTAAACCTTAATGAAAGTCCATCTAACCCACTGCTCCACCATATCCAGTACCCATCATGCTATTTATACTTTCACACCTACTCTGGGTAAAAACAACAACAACAAAACAGTAACTGGTTTAAATCTCCCATCACATGCCAGATTTTTCATAACCTAAAAACACCAAAAGAAGGTGCAGATGTCTAGTTTGCTCTTACAATATGCTGCGGGGTTAGTGTGCCCAATGCTGCAAAAAAAAAAAATGTTTAAAAAAAAATATTGCCTACCCCAGCTTTAAATCCCTTGCCAGACTCATAGGCATCCACAACCTTTTTTTTCTGAAGGCCTCGGGGAGTTCTTTAGATGTTGGCATGATGATACTACACACTTCAGTGGCAAAGAGAACGGCGGCAGAGCCTTGATGTCAGCAGTTTAAAATGGGACAGCTTTTGAGTGTCACTCCCAGAGGAGGTTCTAATTACTGGCACCTGATCTGGAACCCCTGAGTGTATTTTATGGATTCGAAGTTGTGATTAATGTTGGAGTGGACTTACTTTTACCTTGTGGCTGATCTGTTTGTCTATGGAAATAACTACAAAATGTAAAAATCTTGCCCATACCTGTATGTAGCATTGTCTTTCATTATGTCCTAGTTATGCACACTACAGAGCTGCTTTACTTTGAAAATCCAAGGGTGTCCTTTTCACTGCTCAGTTACACATAGAACCGCAGTCATCCAGCAAAACCAACTTTAATGTTGTTCTGGATGTTTAAGAACCCACACGAACGCCACGGGAGAATTCTCCGCAGACCAGCAGCTCCCCCTGGGGCTCCTGCACGGCAAGCTGACCTCCAAAACAACATACATCACCGCTTGAAGTGTGCGTGCAGGGAGGGATGGTGCGTATCTCTGTGTTAAGGGAGAGCAAATGGGAACTGTGCGCGATACTACATGTGTTTGCTATCGCATATCGACGTAGTCCATCAGTGACAAACCACAAGGAGTTGTGTGAAGTGTGTGTATCTTGATGCAGGCTCAGCTGTCAGGCCTCCCTGGCGGTCCATTACCTCTGATGCCTGGATAGGGTCCATCAAGTGCCGGACATCCCCGCGCCTTGTACATGCAAACACACACTCTACCTCCTCACCTTGGCCTGATGGGATATCACTGAGGGAATGTACATCCACCACCAAAAAGACAATTTGTCTTGATAGCGGAGCTCGTGGCCCCATAGCGGCTTCTCTCCTGCCTCATCTGTGTGCCTCGGGTATTTTGAGGGTGTCCGAAGGTGTAAAAAAAAAGAAAAAGAAGACGGGCTGACATGATGTTTTGGCTGATTGACGACAGCTTGGCTCCTCACCTCGGTGGAGAAACAGGCCGCTTCCCTGCCTGGGGTTTAAATGAGAAAGTGAATGAACACCGGTGCATGGATGTTAAGCAGTAAATCTTGTATAAAATGACATCTGGATGCTACAAGCGAGCATCGTTTGGATAAATCTGGAGGTGGCACTCACTATACTTTAGTTTAGGTGACTGCAGCAAGTGGAGCACAAAAAAAGTTTTTACTGGAGACTTTTTTTTTTTTTTCACAACTCTGTATATGCTGTGAATTCCTGGCAGGCATCAGCCTACCAACTGTGGATACATGGCTCTGCAGCGACTGAGGCAGATGCTTGGCTGTGTTACGACCCCGGTAATAAGACAGACATGTGGCTGTGCTGCATCCAGAGGAGCAGGTGCTGCCACCACACTGCCATTACCATCTGCACTGATGAGATCGGGGACTCAGCCGTGCTGGATGTTAGATGGTTATTATCCCTTAAAGTAAAATATAAAATAAGTAATAGTGCAAGCTGGTGAAATCGGCAATCCACCCTAAAAATGACTGTAATATCGCAAAAGGGACCTGTGTTGCTGATTAGTGAGTGTAGCCTACATCCTAATCTTATTGTATATTATATCATTTTTATCTTCTGCGGCTTCATCCTTTAATGCCTCATTTGGCACTCAAAACCAAATGATAGATATTTATCCCTAATGAATAACATCTATAGGGATTAGCCATGCAGGAAAAGAGGTTGGCATGTGCTGAAAGGGTGAACTGATGGATGGAGAGGTGGTTGAGGGATGATAAAAAATAAAAAAAAAGATGCAATGTGGTTGAAGGGAGGAGGTTAAAAAAAAAAAGAGCTAGTATCCCTTTAAAGTCCTCTGACGTCATGCTGATGCAGATCTGCCCGGCTGGATCCGAGCGCAGGAGAGGAGGAGGAGGAGGAGGAGAAGGATGCCGAAAAAAAAAAAAAATGAAACTCCTCAGCACTAATTTTTCAGTCCTCTGCGGGAGAAGATGGAGCTCGACCCTCCCCCGCACCTCGTAGCCCGCACGGGAGCGGATCGACACCTGTTTCCAACCCTGAGCGGACGCGACGATGCTGCCGGCGCGACGCGGACGACGGTAAACGCGACACATTTTTAATAGAAAAAGCGACCATATTGAGGTCAGAAGAAAGCGTTGCCAGGGCGACCAGCTTGCTAGGGGAGGACACTGCAGGCGCGCGTCACACGCCGGGGACGAGCGGTGCGTGCTTTTTTTTTTTCGCGAGGACGCGCGCGCGCGTGCGGCGGCGGCGGCTAGCTGAGGCGGTCACGGCTTCCACACAGCAGCAGCAGCAGCAGCATCGGCGGCGGCGGCGGCGGCATCTTCCTCACAAGACTACCGGAGCACCGACGCTACTGTGCGTCCGCCGTTACCGACACGAGCGTTACAGCGAGCCCGAGCTTGCACCGTGACTTCTTCGGGCTTCACTTTGAGGGGGATTTATTGTGGATTTATCGACGACGTCCCAGAATAATTAAGAAAAAAAAAAAACGCTCTGAAACTGAGTGGCAACACAGGTGACACTTCCCGGCAATCAAGTCCCCCGCAGACACGTCCGGCTTGTTTTGTCATTAAAAAAAAGGGGCCTCAATTTGAAAAACAAAAACAAAAAACAAACAACAACAAAAAAACAAACTTTCCTTTTTTTCTCTTTTTTCCCCCCTTGTGACAAACCGGACTGTCAGAAAATAATTAATTTATCGCCGTGCTGGAGGAGACGGGGACCGAGCCGAGCCGAGCTCGCCTGCTCGGACGGGGATTGAGAGGCTGCTGTAGCCCGCTGAGCTGTTGGTGCTGGCTAATGCAGTATAGCAGCTTTATTTTTTGCTATTCGGGCTCCACTCTGTCATTGTCTTCAGTCATGAAGTCCCACCTGCCGGCCCGGTTGGATTGAACGAGGTACAGTGCTGTGGAAGGGCCATTTTTTTTTTTTTTTTAATTTTAATTTTTACATTTTTTTATTATTAGTATTCGTTTTGCTTTGATAAATAAGCACTTCTTTTTTTCTTTTAATTTTTTTTCTGTTTTTTTATTTTTATTTTTTTTATCGCTCGCTTGACTTTTAACCGGCGGACGGTTTAGTGAAGAGGACAAGGAGGAGAAGGACGAAAGCTCAGGAAGAGAACCCCGTTGGGAATCTGGCACCTTACCAACACCGGTGGATCACACATTAACAGGTAGGCTCAGGTTTGCATTGCCAATGCTGATTTTCCACTGTGAGATATGCTTCTACTCTAAAATCACAGTGAAATATGCTGTTTCTGATGATTACTGCTTCCAATTTGCTTTAAATGTGCATTTTTTAATTGTGTGTGGGCTTCATACATACAGTGAATAACATATTAAGACATGAGCAAATACCTTCCTCACAAGTATATCATCTCAAATCACTGCATGTATTTTTTTTTAATATATATATTAAGAAATGGAGATACATGTTGCCAGCATTGAAAGATGCAGCCCAAAGCATGTCTGAATTGAATGTCATTTAGTGCCACTTGCAATCATTGGATTTTGCAGCATGTTTCGTCACGTCTGTGTGTGTATTTTGTGTTGTGGAAATGTCAGACCTGTTGTGAATGAGTCGTGCTTCATGCAGGCGAGCTCCTCTTTAATAACAGAGAAGATGCATCCGCTGTGCCATTAATGAGAGACCTGCACTCGGAGCTCTTCTGGCGGAATGAGAGAAACAGAGGCTGCTATTCAGTCAGGCTGAGCTCATTCCTGTGTCCTCGTACATGCACAATTTTTTTGCAGCTTATTAATCAAAGGGCCTTCTATTAGATCGCATCAATGCTGGATGGGTTATTGCACTTTTTGGTGGTCTTTGTGCAATATCTTTAATTGTGCATCATCTGGAAGACGGTTGAAAGGGAATAGGAATGCATGGGAAACTGTGCGAGGGAACCATAATGTGTTGCAGGCAGAAATGATGCACACGCTCTCTCACAAAAGTCCTCCTTCAACAGTTGAATCATCCTTCAAATTAATATGAGCATCTTATCATGTGGTCTTTTATACTCACAAGACCTCAGGAAACGCCATGGCCATGAGAACATATTCCCCTAATGCTCGCCTCCGCACACACACACACACAAATAAGTGCACACACACACAGCACGAAGAATGGGGCACATTTATATGCTGTGGCTGGTGTTGTGGGGCATTCGGATCGGCAGGGCCTGCTAGATGATAGAATTCAGCAGGGACAAGAAGACCTCTGTTCTTATCTGCGGCGACGAGAAGGGGAAGGCAGCTCGGCTCAGTCTCAGCTCCTCTCCTTGGTTTAAGGCAGCTAGCCTGCCCTATATAGCAGATAGGGACATCTCCTCTGTGGGGAGAAATCATTTTAATGGAGGCAGGGGGGAAAAAATGTGCGACTGTCCTTGTGCTAAATAGATGTTGTCACAGAGGAGTTGTTATTTATCTCGTCGGCGACTGGCTGCAAACTTTGAAGAACTGTGGAGATGTTTAAGGGGGATAAAGGTGGCGTGCTAATGCAGTGCGTTGAGCGATTGCAGACATTTGTGTGAGAGAGAGCGATATGTATACACAAAAAAAAAAAAAAATGGAGGAGAGGGGGAGATAGAGCATTTCTGCAGCAACGCAATACAGCATATTCTGTTTATGCATTTTGCTGTCAGTGGCTGATTTACAATGAGAAACACAAAGGGAAGGTAGTGTTGTCAAGGAGGCCTGCACACATCTCTGCCTGTTTGTACTTTTGTGTGGGAATCCTGCAGGCTAGAATTTGTTCATTTTTGTATCTCCGTGTGTGTCCCTTAAGCAAATGCATGCAAAAGCCCATGAAGCCATTGCTCAATGCCATCCCTCCCAGGCAAGGTGCAGCAAAGCTGGAGGCAGATGGGACTGAAGGGTTCAAAGCATGTCGCGGGCTAGATTGATGTCTCCTAGCGCGGGTCGCTAAGCAGTCAACAGATGCAGGCTGTGCTTGATGTCGTGACGGGGTGAGATGAAATGACCATCACAATCACACTTTCACAGCCTTTTAAAGCCCTACCTGTCAGTTTGCTGCTGCTAATTTTATCCCCGCACTGTTTATTTTTACAATAGACAAATCAGCGACAGCAGGTTTCCCAGTGGGTAAGGACGTGTTCTGGCTGTGGAGATAACAGGGGTTGCTGCTAATTTTAGGTGAGAGATGTCATCTGCGTAAAAAAAATCTCGGGGATTATGACAGCTGACATGTTGACTGGAGAGCTGGAGACTCATCTGATGAACGCTGACGAAATTAAATGTTTGTTTAGCAAAGTCGAAATGAATTAGTAAAGCCAAGTCTGGCTGAACACACAGGTCCTGAGGGAGGTGCTGTTCCTCATATCTTCTTTCTGTTAGGAGACGCTAAGGAGGGAACTATGTGTGTCAGTCATCGCTTTGAAGGCACAGAAAGGTATTTTCAGGACTGCTGGCAGAATTTTATTTCCCCGACAGCGTGAATTTGGCTTCCGCTTTTCAGCGAAGTTGACGGTTTCGCTGTGACAAACTGTACAGTTAGCGCTTGTATAATTGAAAGAATATTGAATAATTGCAGGAACCTGTTTGCACATTTGAAGGATTTGTGACTTGGAGCAGTGTGTTAGACAGACACGCACCTAATGAACTCCTGATTTATGGAAGTTACAAAAATATATCTCCGTGGGATGAATTGAGCTGTGAGCAGACGTTCAATATTGCAGCAGATCTCTTTGACGGGTACCTGTTGCTGTGACCTCATTTGTATTCATCCTAAACTTCACTGCCTGCCTTGTTTTTCTCTGCTTTTTAGTGGTAAAGAAAGATGGAAGATGGAATAGCTCAACAGTGGATGCTCTTTTCTTATTTTTTTTTTAAAACATAGCAAGGGTTGATGATAGACAACAAGCTGTTCACAATGGGAATATATGTCTCCTTCTCCCTTGACGAACAGTCGCCTGGTCTTTTACATACATCAGTTGTCATGTGTGTGTTACTGCGCTTTATCCATTATCTCAAATTGATTCTGCACTCCTTCCTTCCCTCGCCGAAGACACTTTCCTTTTGTAAGACCATATATTCTCCGCATGACTCCTTTATTGCCTTTATTCTTCATCGATGTATTCATTTGTTTCCCTTCTCCATCCGCTTGTGGCAGATTCCCTCATTTGGTTCAAAGGGAGCCCGACTGTTTCTTGCAAAGGAGTGTGTGTCGTTGCTATGGCAGCATCTTTTTGGAAGGATAAGCCCCGCAAAGATTTTAAACCTGAAGGTCTTTTTTTTTGTTTGTTTGTTTGTTTGTTTCCACTGGTTTGTATGTGTCCATGTATATTAAGTCTCCAAAATTAATCAAAAAACAACTGACATCACCGTATCGACTGCTGCAATGCACGAATTGCTGGAGGCTGCATTTTTTCTTCATGATAAAGCCCACTAAACAATGTTCTCTGGAGCTGCGCTGAATCTTGACACGAAATCATTATGACCAAATATTTTATTACATTCAAAATGAGCAAACCTAAGCATTAGCATGTCTTGATTATTCCTTTCTTTGCAACTGGGGAAAAAAGAATCTGCAAAAGTTGGAGGTAGGGGTGGGTTGTCTGGCCAAAAAAAAAAAAAATCAAATGCTAATCTGTGATCTGAATCGAAATTCTCGCAGGTTTAGTTTCATGATTAATTGCGCTTATGGCTTCAAAGGTTAAAGGCCCAATCCACGAATCTATGCATCCTGTTTTCATCCATTGTGACGCTTCGATGCTGCTTTTGAGAGTTCAGTCGCTGCTAACCCTACAGCCCAGGCCCATTTCATCCCCGCTGACCAGGTCGCTGTTGTAGTGATCTTTAATGCCATTCAGCTTCCTCATCAGTGAGTCTGTCATCCCGCAGATGGACTCCAACTCAGACTGCAGTTGGCAGCGGTAGTCGACTATCTCATCACGTGCAGACTTTATGGCGTCCTTGTTCTGCTCTGCAGCTTAGTCGAGCTTGTTATAGCAGCACATGAACCAGTTCCCCACCTGCTGCAGGTTGGGCTTGGAGTGGTCCTTGAGCTCGCAGTTGAGAGCAGAATAAGGACCGCTGTCGCCGACGGCAGTCCAAGACAGTGGAGTTGGAGTAGATTTGTGGGCCCAAAGACTCACTGCAGAGGAAGCTGTGTGAGGACTGCCTCAACACTCACCTGGCCAACCTGCAAGTAAAGAAACACAAGGCAGGATGTGGTGGATAGATATGTACGACTCCTCTCAAAAGCAGAGCATTTGCCAAATTAAGGTTGTCCTTTAAGTTCATCACATAACCCACCCTTAGCTAGAGGTCTTTATGTCCATTTAGTATTAAACAGTCCTTGTATATGTGGTAAAGGTAAAAGATTATTTGCTTTATGATTGTTCTCTGAGATAAATACCTCCATCTTCCCTGCTCAGCTTGTCAATGTGTCTGTTTTCTCTTGGAGTGCTTGTCCTCCACAGTGTCCAGTCTCTCGTCTTTGTCTGAGGCTGTTGAATGAGATCTTTGCTGTCTTGGGTGCAAAATGGAAATATGCAGTTTATTTGTCTCAACTCTTTCCTTCTTTGTCTGTCTCCTCGTTGTCTTTATATTGCAGTGTTTTCTGCCATTTTGTTGTCTTCTAAATCCCATCCCTCATTCCTTTCCCCTTACATACTTGCTGTCTTCCTTGTTTGTTTTTAAGCATGTTGTCCGTCAACCCGAGGCGAACCGCTCCGTATTGTCCCCGGTGGGCTCATTAAGGTTATATCAAGGTCGAACACTCTGACACATTTTGATGGGGAAAAAAAAAAAACCATGATGGTCGCTTCCAGAGTCTCCAGCCAACAACGGCAGCAACCTTCACATCACCACTCCTCCATCGCCCCCCCTGCTAGAACCAGGCTGACCACCAGCCAAGATCAATGAACATTTACTCCTCTCCTTTCGTCAGAGAGATAAAAGCCAAAGGAAGACACAGGGAAAGTAAGAAACCACCCAGAACACCTATCGGCCAGCTCTTGACTGCTCTCAAGTTTGACAGTGCAGGTTGGACACACCTCCAGATTTCCTGTTATAACAGAAAGATTAAATCCACTGTTGAGGTTTTTTTTTTTTTTCTAAAGCAAACAATTCCATTCATCCAGAGGTGCAAGGCTACAATGGGATTTCATACTTCTGTGATGATACAGATTGGATGGAATCAGCAGCAGTGGAG